GTATGCTAATAAGAGGTCTGGGTGTCTTGACCTTCCACCAATGACCTTTGACTTAAGCTGGAGCTCTTTCTCCACTCACAGGATAATTAAGGACTGCTTTCCCCCTCATACGCTATGACTGTTTTGATACATGTAGATTAGGTATCCCTGGCACCCCTGACCCAGCAAATCAAATACATTCACCCTTGGAACCCTTCCCACTGCCCAAATAAGCTCCTGGGCTCTTTAACTTCAAGGCCATCTGAGATTTATTTTTTCTATCTAGGGAAGAATCACCAGTGGACACCTGAACTTGACTGGCAATCAAGCAGCTACTTGCCTGGATGCTAAAAGCTTCTGGATGGCCTGGAGCTCAACTGCTGGTCAGCTGGCCACACGCTGCCAGCTGCACCGAGCTTCCACCACTCACAACTGTGCCAGCCAATGACCTACATGTTATGAGACCTGCCTTCTGTTTGGTTTCAAGCCTCTGCCATGCTTAGCACAGCAGCTTAAATGAGGAGCTGTAACACTTTGGTATCGCCATAGGCTTTGAAATACCAAAGCAATCTCATTTCTTAAAAGCCAACTAACTGTAACATCCAGTGAAAAACTCAATTCTACCTCCCCAGGTGAGACCAGGAGCCTTGCCTAGGGCACAGGTCTCTCCAAAAAGTGTTCTAGCCATTCCTGAGAGAAACGGGACCTCGGATCTCTGGGTTGCTCTGTTCTTCGTCCAGAAGATGAAGCCTTGTCCCAGACTTCCACAGAACAGAGAATGACACTACACATGAATATACTCACCCTCACACATGGGCACACATACACAAAGAATGTGCTAGGTTTCAAGACAGAGTCACTGCTAAGTGAAGATGCTGCAACCAAAATGGGGTATGAAAGGACAAACAGGTTTGAGATGAATATCTATATATTCAGATTATATATGTTACACTTTGTACTTATCAGCCATAAGACTGAAGACCATTAGAATTATGTTGTAAGACCAACAGAAACATTATCAAGACAATGTCTATGAATTTCTTTTTTCTAACTTTTTTTTAATACATCCTGACTGCAATTTTTCCTTCCTCAATGTTTATGAACTTCTTAAGAATAGTTTTAGTAGGAAATAGAGAGATGGCCAAGTGTATGAGAGCACTTGCTAGAACCAGCAAGAGACTCAAGTTCAGTTCCCAGCATCCACACAGGGCAACTAACAACTGTCTAACTCCATCTTTCATCATTTGGCTTCCACAGGTACCCACACACATGACATTCACATACATGACATTCACAAAGACACACATATACACATAAACACCCATACACACACACAAAAAAAATAAAGAATAGTTTTAATAAAGAGAGATTAATCTCAGCTCAGCACTACCAACTACTTCATAGGCAAGTCAGGAGGAAAAAAAAATGTGTATTGTGTTTAAGTAGTTAATGTTTAAAAGATGAAATATCATACTATACACTTAAATACTACAATAAGTTAAAACAAAGAATACTGATTAATGGCACAGCATTGTATTTATCTGAATGGTGTTCAAAATGTCGCTCCTCTGTTTTACGCAGGATGTAACCCATACCAGTGGTTCTCAGTGTCTTAGGAACAGAGATACCACTCCATAGCAAAATTACAGTCATGATGTACCAAGGGAAATAAACTTACAGCTGGGGTTTCCTCAGACCAGCAGAAATATGTGTTTTCTGACAGTTGTAACCCACAGAATGAGAACTGCTGGCTTAAACCAACAGCTCAACAAAATGTTTCACTTTCTCTTTTCCAAGCTACCAGACTGGGAAAGAAACTTCAAAACAAATCCTTCATAATCCTAGATCATTGAAAGACTGCTGTGAGGAGAGCGCTCTGGCCAAAGAACAATGCCAGGTAAGATGTGAGCAAGCAAATGTTGTAATCACTAATTAGAACTAACTGGAATATAACAACAGGTTTAACAAAATAGAAAGGGCCAAGTAGGAAATATCACCCTAGGAGGCAATCAATGAGACAGCGATCACACACTTATGTCCTTACTGTTCACTTTGTGACTCAAAGTAAATCCCACTCCACGCTCGGTTCGGAATTCTCACAGAGGGGGGAAAGAACACACAAAACAGAATCTCAAATGGATCAATGTTGATTAGAAAAGAATGTGATGACGCATTCACGAGAAGAAAATGTCTCCCCATCACTATTCTTACATATTGATGATTGTTCCTCTAATTTTCTACTGTTATTTAATTATTTGCTTTGCACCTAAATGGTTGTCTTATCTCGTAGTGTTACACCGAGGACACACTACACATGCAGGTTACTAAAAATAAGCTGGAAGTAAAATAAATATTTATTAGTGTGACTTCAACAACATACCTGAAAAAGGATAATTTATAAAAAGTAAAAACTTATCTCCTCACACTTCTGGAAAGTGATAGGGTGTCCAAAACCAAGATGCCCATGGGTGAAGCTGTCCAGTGAGGGCTGTTTTCTGCTTCCTCCAGATGGCACTTTATTTGCCATATTCACCAGAGAGTGGGATTGCAATGTCCTTACAAGGCAAAGTGCCAATGAAATAAACTGCACCAAAGTGGGTTTTTTTTCTTCAAGTTTTATTGTTTGTTTGTATGTTTCTTATTTGTATACGATGACATCTCCCCTCCATGGCCTTCTCTTGTCCTCTTTCTATCTCTTTTCCCCTTCTTCCCAACTAGGCCCCCTATTTTTATGTCCTCTGAGGTGGGTGTGTATATGTGTGTATAATGCCTATCCTGTGCAACTGATCACAGCTGCTGTGTATTCGTGACAGCCACAGAAAAGTCATTTCCAAAGACGGATTTCAACCCTATGGATCCCCATCTTCTGGTTTTAACAGCTCTACCCAGCCCCCCTCTTCTGCAATGCCCCCCTGGGTCTTAGAATGGGTAACATGGCTGTCCCCATAAGTCCCTCTTTGATTAGACCATTGCCCCCACCCAAAAGATGCTTCCTTGACCAAGGCTTCAAGCTGACTATAGGAATAAGGGTTTTGACTCCTTCATGAGGGAAAAGCCCTACTGGCTTAGTTATAAGTTAAAGCCCCCAGCTCTTTATACAGCACAATGGTAGCACCTAAATTTTGCAGAGGACATGTTCAAACCACAGAGTCAAATGACCATGGCAACAGTATGAAAAAGTTTTTTATAACAATACAAGCCACCACTGCCAAATGCAAATTACTATCTGACATGCTTAAATGGAACATGTGTTCTGGAAAATGGCGATTACCCAGAACCAAGGACAGGAGTGGAATCCCCACAGAGAAGCCCACAAGGACTCCCCTAGGGCAGACTTTTCACCAAGAACACTGGATTCCTCCGCTTGGCCTTTGTTGCTCTCAGAAAGTTTGACAAACCATGAAAGATGACTATAATTGCTTCGATCCCAGTGAAGCCAAATGTGAAGTACTAAAAAAAAAAAAGAAGAAGAAAAAGAAAAAATGATGTTTGTCTGCTTGTGGCCATTTAAAACTGGAAACAGGACATGTAAAATATTTCCTCAACTCTTATTTTAGAAATTTCTTACTGGTAATTTTACAAACCACTCAAGTGGAGCCATTGTAAAAATAAACATCTCCAAAAAGGCTGGCCATCACCTTTAATCACCCTCCTTTGTTTTAATCCAGGTGCTCATTGCAATAAAGTGATTTTCATGTTTAAAAACAATGTCTACAGTGAAATAGATGAGGGAATAAGGCAGACAGGGACAGTGGTGAGAGAAAGTCCTAACCATGTTCCTTTTTATATTGCCTTTATTTTGATCCATGTAAACAGATTTCATATAAAAATTGAAAAAAAGATAAATTACCTGCTTTTGTTATAAAATTCACTTACTTCAAAAGCAGACTAAGTCTTTAAGTTTAAGGATTGTACACTATCAGAGAACACAGGCTTGCATATTCTGAATGAAATTTTACCAGACCTCTCCCCAGTACTTAATCCAAAGTCATAACTACACACATGCATCAGCCAGGCCTGGTTACTTTGAAGAGGGCTCCTTTGTTAGTGTATATAAACTCTGGACTGAGCTGTTTATAACGTCTACCATTTTACAAATCTGGACAGTAGTGTTTTCAAGAAAGTTACTTAAGTGAATATGTTAAATAACATGAACAAGATAGGTCGTGAACTTGAGTTTTTGTGTTTTCATGTCACACCAACCCATGTTCACAATCATCGATGTCACTTAACTAGATGTTTTTCTATGATTAAAAACACTATATTCTCTTGCCAAGGTAGTTTTGATTTTTGCAGTATCTCAGCTTTAGAGAAGCTAGGATCACAAATGTGACTGCAACAAAATGCTTGAAATGAAATCACAACTACTCCAACTAGTCTGTTTCAGTTTTAAAACTAAACCTACGCTGATCGTAATTATTGAATTCACATACAGGGAAGCCTGGTGGGAGAGGAGCTAAAACTAATGGCTCTTAAATTGGGCTCTCTTAAATTGGGCCACGCTGTCCTCCCTCTTCCGGACGGTAAGGTCAAACACCAGCCAAGTGTTGCTCCTCAGTGTTGATTAAGCGGGGAGGAATCCGTTCAACGATTAAGGTGAAAGAAGTTTAATGCACTATCAAGAGCAAACACTGGGGTGGAGAGAGGGTGTTGAAAGACTGCACAAACACTGCTCGGAAGTAGACCGCAGAGTTTGAAATGCACAATCACACACGCCTTGCGTCACGTCCACTGCAACTCCCAGGACCAGGGACGGACCTGTGCGAGTCCCAGAAGCGGAAGCGTGCCTCCAGCGCTGCCGGTCCCAGCACGCAGGGAACGGCTCGCAGGCCCTGGGCTGCGGTGCGGACGTGCAGAAGCAAGCTCACACTCCCTGCAGAACCAGCCCGGGCCTCGGCAGAGCCACACCCACCCCGTGATTGGCGCGCGGGAGGGGCGGGGCGGGGCCACGTCAGGGTCGAGCGCGGCGCGCGCGGGGAGGCAGGCCGCGGGCCGACGCCAGTGGCGGGGTCCCCGAGTACCTGCGCTGGAAGTCCACGGCGAAGGGCTTCAGGTACGGGTCAGTCTCCAGGAGCCGGGCCAGCTCGGGCACTTCGGCCAGGGCGGCCTTCAGCTGAGCCTCGGAACCCTGGTCGGCCGCCGCCGGAGCCGCCATCTTCGCCGCAGCCCGAGTAGCCGAGACCCGAGAGGGTCGAGTGGCCCGAGTGGCGTGCGGGCGGCAGGGCGGCAGGGCGGAGCCGGCGAGCCTAGGCGAGCCGCTCGGGAGTTGCCCTTTATAGCGGCAGAGCGGGCCGGGGTGAGCCTGGGACGCACGTCCCCTGCGTGGGCCCCCGCCCACTCGCCGGCCGCCACCTGGAGCCCTGAACCGTGCTGGCCGGCCACGGGGAGGCGGGTCTCCGCGCCCTCCCCTCCCGTCCCCTTTCCGTCCCGTGGCCTCCACTCCTCAGACACCGGCTCTCGGTTGGAGGTTGTTCTAGCCGCAGTGAACTAAACAGAGTAGGAAATTAGCCAGGACAATAGCTAATTGTAAATAATGTTAAACTGTCGACTGGTTTAATGTCATTGAACACCCTGACTGCCCTGAGTTTAAGGTGTCTCATGAATTAAACCGAGAGAGTCTTTGGAGATTGCGTAGATACTCCCGGTGTCTGCAAGTCCAAGAACTTTCCTGGTTCCCCATACATCCAGCAACGAAATGGAAAGGCAGGCATTTGTGTTTCCACAACTTATCACCAACAAACTGTCTTTGATGAGACATGACTAGGAGAACATCATTGAAATGAACTCTACTCTGCTCCTTAATAACAGCAATAAAACCAGAAATCTCTGACCAAGCTCCCAAGTGTAACTTCTTTCTGTCCTTTCAGTTCACTGGTTCCTGTTTAAGAATTAGGGGCCTGGCGACATAAACGGTGCATGGCAACAAGGCAGACCCAGAATTATACTTCCAGAACCCAAATTGTGTAAGGAGAAAATCAATTCTGGCACCACCCTGACACATACATACATACACAGGCATACATACATACTATAATTTTAAAAATTAATATAAAATTAGACACCTGGAGAAATAGACCCTATTATTCAAGAGGGTGCAAGTTACTTTGTATCTCAAAACTGGAGAGGCTTGAATATAACTTTATCAGTTGAAACCCAGAACTGTAAAATCCTAGAGTCTATGAAGAAGGAACAATATTGATCATCCTTAGGCTTTTAACATTTGAAAGGGGGTTTTATGGTGACTTTAAGAAACACTTGAAGGCTACTAAATAAATGACCTCAGTGTGAATGGCTAGAGATCTTAGATAAAAGCATAAAATGAAGATCCTGCAAATGATTTGCAACATAACACATGGAGGAAGCAGGGACTTGAACCCAGAAATAAAATACCTAGTAAGTCACATGAATAGATAGTTCAAACCATTTTTTTTCTTTCATAAATCCAAATTTCCATCACTTCTCACTGAAATTTCCATTTTGCTGGCTAAGAGACTGGAACCAACTAGCTTTTCCATACCATAACCATTTACCTGTTGGTGTAAAACCAAATCACTGGTTAAGAAGGAAGAAAGGGAAGGACATGAGGAGAGAAAATTAATCAGAGCTTTCCTGAATAAACACTGCCTTTTATCACTTTTAAACAGTCTTATATCACCCATTCTTATACTGGCTGTATCAAAGATTCTCAAGCTGATTTTAATATGAGTCACCTGTGTATCTTGGTGAGAATGAGCATTCTGAGTTTAGGGTCCATGTATCAAAATATATTTGTAAACCACTTTCAGATGATACTCATGACACAGGTTTTACATAGTGTGAATAGCCAAACTATGAAATAAGGTGAATATTTCCATTAACAATTTAGATGGCATGCCATTTCGATAAAGAGTGAAATACAAAGTTGTCTTTCCTTTAAAAAAAAATCATACGTTTATATTACTATATGTTTATACCACTCCTAGGCATATATCCAAAATATGCTCAAGTACACAACAAGGACTTTTATTCAACCATATTTGTAGCAGCTTTATTTGTAATAGCCAGAACCTGGTAACAACCCAGATGTCCCTCAACGGAGGAATGGATACAGAAATTATGGTACATTTACACAATGGAATACTAGTCAGCAATTAAAAAAAAAGAAATCATGAAATTTGCAGGCAAATGGTAAGATCTAGAAAAGATCATCCTGAGTGAGGTCTCCCAGAAGCAGAAAGACATACATGGTATATACTTACTTATAAGTGGATACTAGACCTATGAGACAGGATAAACATACTAAAATCTGTGCACCTAAAAAAGCTAAACAAGAAGGAGGACCCAGGGTAAGATGATCAATTCTCAATTAGAAAGACAAATGGGATGGACATTGGAAGAAGGAGAAAACAATTAACAGGACAGGAGCCTACCACAGAGGGCCTCTGAAAGACAACCTAGCAGTGTATCAAAGCAGATGCTGAGACTCAACCAAACTTTGGGCAGAGTGCAGGGAATCATAAGAAAGAAGGGGGAGTTAAAAAGACTTGGAGAGGACAGGAGTTCCACGAGGAGAGCAACAGAACCAAAATATCTGAGCACAGGGGGCTTTTCTGAAACTGTTACTCCAACCAAGGACCATTCATGGATATAACCTAGAACCCCTGCTCAGATGTAGCCCATTGCAGCTCAATATCCAAGTGGGTACCTAGTAAGAGGAACAAGGACTGTCTCTGATATGAACTCAGTGGCTGGCTCTTTGAACATCCCCCCCCCCCCCAGGGGGGGATGCCAGGCCACAGAGAAGGACATTGTAGCCAGTCCTGATAAGCTAGGGTCAGATGGAAGGGGAGGAAGACCTCTGCTATCAGTGGACTTAGAGAGGGGCATGGGAGAAGATGAGGGAGAGAAGGTGGGATTGGGAGGGAATGAGTGAGGGGGCTACAGCTGGGATACAAAGCAAATAAAATGTAATTAATGTAAAAAAAATAAAATGCAATTAAAAAACATTTATACAATCTGGATTTGCTACTTTTATTCCCCAGTTTCCTTGAAGTAGTGGCAGGGACTTCTCTGGAGGTGACAGAACTCTGAGACCACTGTGCTTGCTACTTTGTTGAGACTTTTCTTCCTTCTGTTCTCTGTGGCTGCTTCTTGCCAGCCATATTTCAGTTTTCTTTACAAATGATATCTCATCTCAGGAGCTCATAATTTTTTTTAAATAGACTATTTCAATCTATTCTCCTCTATGCCACAATGTAGGTTCTGTATCAATCTTTAAAAGGTAAGCTTCACAAGTACAAGAACCTAATCTAGCTCAAATTCCATATGCCTGCATCTTGCCCACAGAGTGCAGATAAGTGAGATTTTTATGTTCCACTGTCATAAGTGTCAACATAAGTCCAATTCTGGTAGAGCTAGAGCACCAGAATTAATATTGATCAAATGTACCATTTGTAGTTCAGGTGTTTGAGGAATGTCATTCGGTGCTAACATTTATGTTATACTGCAATAAGAAGCAACAATAGAGTAATAGGATTCCAGGGGTTTCTGAAATGGGAAATTGAACTATCCAGGGCAGAAAGAATGGAGTAAAAGAATGGAGAGAAAGGAAACCAGCATGAGTGGTGTCTAAGGAAGCACAAGAGTACCAGGAAGTGCGCTAGTGTTCTGCCCAGTTCATGAACCCCAAAAGACCAGGAATAAACGGACTCTGCTGTAAATACATGAGGTTCTTTTTATTGCAAATTACAAGCTGCAGCTTGGGCCCACACCGAAGTGGTGGGAGCCGAGCACACAGGGCCCAGGTTAGTTGGGTGATTTAAAGATTCTGGTCCACCCCAGCATGCCCAAGGCAGGGGCAATTCCTGCTTGCCAAGCATCTATTGGTCAAAATGCTACATTTTTAATTGATTGGCTATAGGAAGATCCCCAGACCATAATGACCTGGTGTCCCTCCCTAGGGGGATGGGCCAGTTTCCTAGCAACTGTACCTCTAGTGGGTGGGGAAAGAATGCAGTAAGGTGGTTCTTCCCCTCAGGGCATTCCTGGACTTCTCTACCCACCTAGTTCAGGCCTTAATTAATAATAGCTGCTAATTTTTAATCTTTTGGTCTCTCACTAGTACCAGGTACATGTTTGATCTTGTAGAACCTGTAATTACACAGATTTGAGCAGAAAACTAAGAATCTAATTTGCATTTAAAATACCCTCCCTGGCAAATAGTTCACTGGAACAGAAGAACAGACAGAAGAGATCCAACATGCAGCCAACAGCAGTGTCAGTGAGCTTTATGATTTACCAATCCTGAGATGTATCTAGCCAACAGTTCATCAGGAGATAGACCATCTGTGGCACTTTGATTTTATTTAATAACTTTATGCCTGGGAGACTCTTTTTCCACCTGCACAGTTGCATTCACTGGGGCTTTTCACCTGCTGTTATGATCTTCCAAGAAGTTTCTTGAAGTCTATGAGACACCCAAAGGCTAGCATTACATAATGAAATGTTTTCACAAAAGGTAAACTTTGTCTCTGAATGCCTACTACCACCCATTTCTAAACACTGCAACTTAACCTTAGGATTTAACAAGTAAGGGAATAATAAAATAAGACATGAGGAATGTCCAATATGGCATGAGAAGATCTCATCACTTACATCAGTTACTTCTTGGGGGGGGGGGGCTATGTTGGAGACAGCCGCATGGATAAAATTCTCCCTTATTTAATGCCTACAATCATGCTCCATGAATTGCCCTTCTTTCTCATCCTAGGGCACTACCTTAGTGCTGATGTGTACTTCCCTACCCCCAGAAAGCCAAATAGGCCAGGTTTGCACTTTGTGAACCTGCCTGGGGTGAGGAAGTAGGGCTGTGTTCTTACCTACTGGACCCCCAGTTCAAGCCAAATTCCTAGATCTAGTAGGCTCTAGGCCAGAATATGGCCTGTACCTCTCCATCAGCCTCACTTGGCTGCTGAAAAAGGTTCAGGTGTGGGTGAAAGTCTCCCAATAAACGTTCATGCAGCATTAAAAATAAATAAATAAATAAAAATAAAGCACACAACATATTCTTAAAAAATGATTGTCCACCAAAAAAAATAATTTTCTCTTAAACTGTTTTCTCATTTACTACTTCCGTGAACTATTGATCTCATTTTTAAAAATCCTAGATATATATTTAGACTCCTGCTAGTTTTCCCCCTTAGATACTGCAGATAAACAAAAATCTTCCTATATTTGCCATTGAGTGACCTGAGTAGACCCTTTGTCGGCTTTC